TTTTTTTGCGGGGTGCCGACCACCCTCGACCAGCAGGTGCCGACGACCCTCGACCAGTAGGTGCCGACCAGCCAATCGGTCGGCGGGTCGGCAGCCGACCAGTCAAGGGCTGCCGACTGTCAGGGGGTGCAACCCTGAAGCATGCCAAATAAACTTCGGTTCTTCACGAGCGCTTGCAGCCTTGTACGTATGTTGAGGGAGCAACGAAATGTGTTTTTCAGAGTTTTTCAGTATGTTCCTCAGTTTTGGTGTTCTGTGATCATCAATCACAACATATACATGATCAGTCTTGAAGACTACTGTCTTCCCCCGAACATAGCGCATATGCGTTGTAAACGAATACAATGCATAGGTTGCTTTCCATTCGAATACAGCGCATGTGCGTTCTATTCAAACAACCTTCAGTTCGAATACAATGCATGTGCGTTCTATTGGAATCATCAATATTTTTTTTTGAAACTCGAATACAAGGCGTATGAGTTATGTTCGGGGAAGAAGGTAGGCCAAATTCCACCAAGCACGCTATGTACAAAAGTCAAAATTAATGTACAGTTGAGTTACTACACTCAGCTGCTGATGGTATTGGTACATATTTGTTGCGATTTGAGTAGTTTTTTGTGGGTGTTTTCTTTTCTGTTCGTTCTTCTCTTTTTCTTTTCTTTTTTTTTTTTCGCTTTACTTGCTTGTCACAGTTTGTTGATGTGAAACGTTGTGCAAATCCCTGAACAGGTGATATTGGGGGGTCGATGGCGGCATCTCTTTGGTGAGAAGGAGCTTTGGGAGCGACTTGGAGGCGTTGATGTTTGCTTTGCTCCAGGAAGCTTTGGTCAGGCGAACTACAAGGTTTCCCCCAACCCATCCTATAGTTGCATGCCCATTTCTTGCTTGGCAGGAGTGAAAAAGCAATTAGGTAGACAATGTAGATGCTTATGGTGGGCATCAGAGTGGTTCTTGTCCGGGGTACTTTAGAGAGGGCGAGGCGGGGGGGAAGACCCTTGTAGATGCTTTTGTGCAGTTTTTTCTAACGGTCTTGCGGATGGCAGTTGTACAGGTTTTGCTAAACTCATAGGCTTCCATTATTTTTGCTGTTACTAAGAGAGGGGGGTTGAAGGGAAGGGAGAGAGAGGGGGGGTGGAGGGAGGGGGAGGAGAGGCAGAGGCCAGAGGGGGAGGGTAGAAAAGCAAGAGAAGTTTAGGGCTTGTTCTTCCTCAGGTGATGCTTGTCATGTTGTTGATGGTAGGTAGCCCAACACAGAGACAAACAGATAGGAAGAGGTAGGGAGAGTAGGGAGAGAGAG